TGTGTGTGTGTGTGTGTGTGTGTGTGTGTGTGTGTGTGTGTGTGTGTGTGTATCTTGGGTGTGTAAACACGGCAACAAAAACACCGTTGTATTTTTCTTCGTGCCGCGGACAAACGTTCGGGAATACAATGGATGTAGCGGGGGTTGATTTGAGGGTGGTCTGGCATTGTTGACACATTCCTGTGGTCAGAAAATCGTTTACTGAGGATTAAGTGGTTGATAACACTATTACCGTTTCTGAAACTGAACTCATACTTTAGCTCAGTGCTAGTCAATCTTTTTATAACCAGCGCCCACTTTGCCACCTTTAAGAGGCTTCAAGTTTTGAAACAGCCCACTACTGTAAGGTATTAATATTACTGGACAGGTGATCCCCACCGTCCACCAACTTATAGTGGGTCATGTCATCCATGTTGACAAGCCCTGTGTTAGCACTTTTCTATTCTCAACACTGTCCTATATCGTTGGGTACACCTTACTATACACAACAATGTCGTATATCGTTGGTGTACACACCTTACTGTACATACCACGATGTCTTATACCGGCGGTGTACACATCTTTCTATACACAACGTTCTATATCGGCGGTGTACACATCTTTCTATACACAACACTGTCCTATATCGGCGGTGTATATATCTAAAAGGCACCCATACGACCACAGACCGTTACGAGTGCCATAAACTCCTAACAAACTCACTCATGTATGAAAGTGAAAAGGCAAATTAATTTTTGTTTCAAGATTCGTTTTCTGCCTTTTTCACCCCAGACGAGGGTTGTCAGTCATATAGTATACGAAGATTTCAGTAGTATTTTAACAATGCGATCAAAACACGAAACAGAGCAGTTAGTTTGTTGTTGTTGTTTGTTTTGTTTGTTTGTTTGTTTGTTTGTTTTGTTTGTTTGTTTGTTTGTTTGTTTGTTTGTTTGTTTGTTTGTTTGTTTGTTTGGGGTTTTGTTATTTTTTGGGGATGGTGAAAAATCTTTTTATGGACTTACACGTTTAGAGAATATGTATTGGCTTGGTTTTATACCCTCTCCTCAAATGTTACGTTTCTTCATAGAGGGAATAACTAACACAAATGATCTCTTCTATTCTCACAGGCATCGACAAGATTTTGTCTGGCCAGAGAGACTCACCGGATAGTCACAACACGTCCGGCAGTGCTAGCAGCAACAGCAACAACAACAACAACAACAACAACACCACAGCCAACAACAACAACAACAATAACATCGTCGTCAATAACAACAGAAGTTTCACCCCAAACAGCAACAACAGTGCACACCAAACAATGACACCGGCGAACAGTATTAGCTCAAACAACAACAACAACAACAACAACAACAACAACAACAACAACAACAACAACAACAACAACAACAACAACAACAACAACAACAGAGTCCCGCCCATGTGGTCTCCCGTCAAGTTCCCACAGCCCATGACCTCCCCCGGAAGTAGTTGCAGCACCACAAGCTCCACCCACCAAGAAGACCCCGCCCACTTCTGTCACAACATGCCTCCCCTCGATGCCAGCACCCTGGACCTGCAGGAAGGTAAGGCTAACCGCAAGGGACGAATACACTCCTCCTCCTCCTCCTCCTCCTCCTCCTCCTCCTCCACCACCTCCGGGAGGGGGGTCTTATGTTGGGAAAAAAACTCCCCCCCCAATTTCCAATCATCATCTTCAACATAACATGCCAGATTTGAAACAGACATCTTCTACCAAGTTTCGCCATTCATTTCTCCACTCGGATGCTCTTTTTGAAAAAAAACCGTATCATTTTCCTGGCGTTTACATGTTCCCCATATTGATCAGAATTTTCAAAAATATACATAACTCGGGGACTTTTCCGAGTGAGAGACTTCATGGTGGTTCAAGTGTCCGAGACTGCCTTTGTCGCTTCTTCTAAAAGGTGAATTCAACAATATTAAAATTTATAATTTTTATTCTAGTTTTCTTTTCCTTTTTTATCTTTTCATTTTCATTCTTTTTTTTCTCCTTTTAATTTAGTTTCCTGTAATCCCCCCCCCCCCTTTACTTTCTGTCATGTTCTTCTCCTGTTTCAACCAAGTTTCTTACCATCTTAAGATGCTGGACCCAAAGAAGGAGAAGACTGCCCTAAAAGTAAAAGACGATATACAGAGATCGTTTCCAACTTTAATTGGAGTTTGCTTTCCATTCTGAAAATTAGAATTCCCTTTTTTGTGTGTTACGTTCACCCTCGATTTTTAAGACCAGGTAGGAAAAATGTCTTGGAGGACGAATACCCTACTCTTTTCTTACTTTCATTCTAGTTTCTTCTCCAGGTAAAACAAAATGTCTTTCCTTCTCTTTTCTTGTTATAATTTTATGTCTTTAATCGCTTTGTCTTTCTTAAAGTTTTTACAAAAAAGCTTCGTATCTGTGAAAAAAAAAGTTTATAGTACCTTTTCCCCCCTTTCCTTTTTGTTTTGCTGTGTTTATTTTTTGTTTGTTTGTTCTTTTAATCATCTACGATTTTTTTTTTCAATATCGCTCTTACTTACCCTTAAACAGAAAAGAATTATAATATGCATACTTGGGTACTTGTAGGAAAATCCACAAAGACATTGTTATCTGTCCAGATATACTAAAACTTAATACTATTTGTGTGTATGGACTAATTCAACTTATTATTACTTGTCCGTATACCATGACTATTATCTATAAAATGTCATTATCGTCTGAAAACCATAATTACACGCCGATTTGTAAAACATATCATCTGTTACACACAACATTGTCCGTGGTATATTTTTTCTACGTACAAATAATATTTGTTGATTGACATGGATTCGTCTTAAATCTATATAAAAATACTATCTTCATCGGAAAGTATAATTACATATACATGAATTCGTAAAACATATTATTTGGGATATATTATATCAATATTTGTTTTACATATTTTATTATAATTATGTATTTGGAGTGAAACGTATTCTTCTTATTCCTAAAACATACTATTATCTGAAAATAATATAACATAATGTATATTCATAAAACTTATCATCTGCGACATAGCCTTTTATGTGATACATAAAAATATTATTCCACCTATTTGGACTGTAAAACAAAGGATGATGATGGTGATGATGATCATAACCATTGCTGTTGCTGTTGTTAATACTGTTGTTGTTAATATTGTTGCTGTTTATGCTGCTGCTGTTGTTTTTGTTGCTGCTGCTGCTGTTTTGGTGTTTTTGTTGTTGTTGTTGTTGTTGCTGCTGCTGTTGTTGTTCGCACATGAATGTTAAACCAAACATTCTCCCTACCTTCACAGGAGTGACCATCTACCAGACACGTTTCGCCGGCACCGTCCACATGGGTGTCTTCTGTACCAAAACCGTCATCTCTCGGGGCACCAGATACGGCCCTTTCAAGGGGAAAGTGGTTCACACAAGTGAGGTGAAGACAGACGATGACAACACGTGCATGTGGGAGGTGAGTGCGGGGTGGACTGTGCCATGAGAACGGGTTGACATTTGGGCTTATGCTTATGATTCCTTCCTGCAGAAAATTAATTGTTCATGACATTATCGGTCATAATACAATTACATTGTAATTAGTAATTCTTAGTTGTTTTTAGAAAACATATAGTTAAAAGATCCTACTATCCCTTCACCCCCCCCCCAAAAAAAAAACAACTAAAAAAGATTTAAAAATCCAAAAAATCTAGTGCTTAATTGAGTCAAACTTAAGACTTAGATTCTAAAAAGAAATGAAAGTGTCTCAATAATTTATAATTGAATTTTTAATACACGAAACAATATTCTGCTATATTGAGGATGTGAAACAAGTTACAAGCACTTACAACGAGAAACAGAAAACATTTACAGTATTACTAAAATTATGGGTATCTTTTTTTTAGCATATGCAAGTGTTTGTACAAAATGATAATTATTCTACGACCTAGAGCAAAAGCAATAAGTGTTTGCCTTGTCAATAATCATAATGGAACATTCATACAGTCAGTACCTCAAGCAGACTGGACTGATTCTTTTTTTCTTTCTGTCTTTCTGTCTTTCTTTCTTTCTTTTTTTCTTTCTTTCTTTCTTTCTTTCTTTCTTTCTTTCTTTCTTTCTTTCTTTCTTTTTTTCTTTCTTTCTTTCTTTCTTTCTTTGTTCAGTTTATGTATGGTGTATGTAAACATCAATACATACATTCATATATCATATCATGTGCGTAAATGTGTATACATGTGTTTGATTAGATATACTACTATTAAATAGTGATAATTATATTCATTTAACAACTTTGTCGTGTGATGTCCGTCCCCAGGTGTTTCAGGAAGGCAAGTTAAGTCACTTTATTGACGGTCGGGGCAACACCGGAAACTGGATGTCTTACATCAACTGTGCTAGGTACGCGCAGGAACAGAATCTGATAGCCATACAGGTGAGGTTTGTGGGTTGTGTGTGGTTGTTGTTTCTGGGGACATATGGGAGGAGAGTAGGGGGTGGAGAGAGAGGGAGAGGGAGACAAAGAGAGACGGAAGGGGAGGGGAGGGATCAGATAGATAGATAGATAGATAGATAGATAGATAGATAGATAGATAGATAGATAGACGGACAGACAGACAGACAGACAGACAGACAGACAGACAGACAGACACACACACACACAGACAGACAGACAGACAAACAGATCGATACAAATAGTGAGAAAGATTTAATTACCAACACTAACATCATGCCTTCTCTTCTCGCCTTCTCCCCCATTTTGCCTTTTCCCTGTTTCACCCCTCCATACCCCCTCACCCACCCCTCTCCCATTGACCCTCCCCAAAATTCAACCAATACGAAACTACCAAACCACCACCGACAAACCACCAAAAACCACCGACCCACCCCACCCCCAGGTGGAGGGAGAGATCTGGTACGAGGCGTGCAAGGACATCCCACAAGGCACAGAGCTCTTGGTCTGGTACGGTGACTGCTATCTACAGTTCATGGGGGTCCCGGTGGCGCTGAAGGAAATGGCGGATGGTGGGGCGCAGGAGGAGGCGGACAGTGAGTGTTGCTGTTTCTGTTGTTGTCGTTGTTGTTGTTGTTGGTGGTGGTGTTGTTGTTATTGTTGTTGTTGGTGGTGGTGGTGGTAGTGCTGTTGTCGTTGTTGTTGTTGTGCTGTCATTGTTGTTGTTCTTGTTGTTGGTAGTGGTGTTTGGTGTGTGAAGTCTACTGTTCATATTTATTATTTTGTTGATGATGATGATGATGATGATGATGATGATGATGATGATGATGATGATGATGATGATGATGATGATGATGATGATGAATTTTAAGTTTATGTCGTTTTTAATGTTTTTTGCCGTTGTGATTGTTCCGAAAGTGATAATCTTAGACAGGTTGTCGAGTTAGACAATGTCATTTTAATATTGAAAAAAAAAGAAAACGCAAGGGAGCAGATGAAAAGTGGCCATTCGTGAGGGTGATTGTTTTTTTATAGGTGGTTGTTTGATCAGGTCCAACAGTACTTCTCAAAGCTCATTTTTTTAACACTTTGCTACCTCAAAATTACTAAGTTTTATCTGGCATTTTTTAAAACCGTTTTTTGTGTTACTAAACCCCATGAGGTCAGAAACAGAATGTTCCATCTCCCATGTCAAAATCGCAAAACTATCCGGAGTCGTTATCAAGATAATCAAAGAACTACATTCGAAAAAGCTTGACATGTCGTGAAACTCAAAATTTTAACGTCAAAATTTGTAAAACAAGGTACTGCTCAGATAGAACTTTATAATTGTAGGATAGCCACTAGCTTTATGACAATACATAGCTGGAGGTGTCATCTCTGACTCAGAGGTTGACGTGTAATGACTCTACATCCTTCACCGTTGCGAGCTGCTGTTGCACATTCTGCCATATCCAGACAATATATATGATGATACTACAATTTGCCAAAAAGAGTAGTTGGTCGTTTTTAAGCACAAGGGGGCTATCCCCCCAAAAAAGCTGTTTTGAGAAAATCGAAGGTAAAGTTTTTTCCCCTTGTTCAGTTTCTAAAAAATACAAGGAGAGTTTTCTCTATAACCAAGCAAATATACACACCAATGAAACCAAACTTCTCCTATAGGTAGGGCAATGCCCACTTTTAGTATAGGTCAAGATTTCTGGAACCCCCCCAGAATCTGGGTTAACCCGCTTGTCCTCAAAAGCGACCAGTTGTAACCATGTTTAACCCCCTTCCCCCCTCGCCCCCCCCCTCAGCCAGTGAGGGCTTCCAGTGTGAGCGTTGTGGGAAGGTGTTCGCCTACAAGTACTACAGAGACAAACACCTCAAGTACACGCGCTGTGTGGACCAGGGAGACCGGAAGTTCCCGTGTCATCTCTGCACCAGGTCAGTACGTCGAGAGTTCTCTTGATAGTTTTGTTCTGTTTCTGTTCATTTGTTTGTTTGTTCGTTTGCATAATATGTATACATACATACATACATGCATGCATGCATATATTATAACAGTCGCCATCATACTTACTCGTGAATTTAGAAGAAGCGAATTATACTTAACTCCTCACATTTGCGTTGCAGTTATTCAATGCGAGCAATCATATTTATTAGAAGGCAATGTAACTCGATCAATCGTATGTACGTAAAGATAGTGTACCTCAACCAGTCATATTTACGAGAAGGTAAGGTCTGTATCTCGACCTTTATATTATTTACGTTAAGGTACTGTTATTCGACCAATCATATTATTTTTGCTAAGGTTATTCAAAGTCCCACCAAAACAGACCTCTTTGCCCCCAACCTTCGTTTGACCGCTACTCCACAAATTTGCGGGTAGCCAGAAATTTTTATGGAGTAGCTCTATCTTTCTTCATAGATGTTGTATCCTTTTCATCCCAAGCTTGCCCTGACAGTGACAGGCAGGGTGGAATCTCCGCTCCGTGAATTATCTAATTGTGTCGATGGGGGCGTAAGAACACTTACGTTTAGTTTAGTTTCAGTAAGAGTTTTACGGCACTTGCAACACAATAAGGTCATATAGGTGCCGCAGATTTGAGGTGTTACAAGAGAATAACAAACACAAAAAGAAGGAGGAGAGATCAGGACGATAGATGTTTGGTAGGAAAAAACAGCAAACCACACCTACCAGAGTACTCACCAACCACTCATCGATCACCTGCGTTTAAAAAATGACAATTGTCCATCTCCACAGATCGTTCGAGAAGCGAGACCGACTGCGCATCCACATCCTTCACGTGCACGAGAAACACCGGCCTCACAAGTGTCTAGTCTGTGGGAAAAGCTTCAGTCAGTCCTCCAGTCTCAACAAGCATATGAGGGTGAGTATAGGGGGGATATATATATA